AAGTAACGATTGACAGAGAACTCTGCTGAGTCAATCTTTGCCGCCTGGGCCGGCAAAGATGTTTCTTGCCCTGCCATCAAAACGATACTATCGGTTATGAAATGCTCCACGCTTCTCTTTTTCAGCTGCACTGCTCTTCCTTCATCCCTGGTAGGTGGCAAGGTGGGACTAATGTTATCGGTGCTGCCGTAACCGCTGGTGTTTCGGGGAGTAACGGCAGCAGGAATTTGCTCTGAGCGTTCCCCCACCCTCCGAGAGTATTCTTCTCTCACGAGCGAGAGAAGTTCGGCCTTCCACTTTGGCAGTTCTTTGGGGCAGACAGAGTCCTTGATGCAAGGGTCGCAGAGTGCTGCCAAAACATGAGTCTTACTCTCCGTCAACGGTAGAAGATATTTACGGAGGGCGAAATTCAACTTTCTGACCACCTCCTGGGCCTGTGGAGTCAGGGGCCCAGCCATAAACTGCAATGTACTGTGTCCACCCAGCGACTCCAAATGGCTCTTCAAACGCAAGATGACTGGGACCACATGGCTGAGTAGTGCTTTCTCTCCTGAAAGTTTTTCGGTGGCCAGTTTGAATGGTTCTAGGATCTCAACCAGCTGAGTGATGGTCATCCACTCCTGGTTGTTGGGGACCAGCTTGTTTATCGGAGCCGCAATTGATAGTGAGACAGCATGGACTGCCCTCTGTTGCTCCACCATGCGCTCCAACATGATGTAGGTGGAGTTCCAGCGGGTGGGGACATCCTGCAGTAACCGGTGTTGTGGGAGGCACTCCAGCGTCTGCCTGTCACGCAGCAGTTTTGCGGACTTAGAGCTACGGTGGAAGAAGCCCGCGATTCTGCGGCAGCGCTCAATGAGTTGAGTGACGGCGGTGGCGCTGTTCTCATCGGGCCCCTTGAAGCCATCTTTTACACAATTATGCAGCAAGTGCGCCATGCATGTTACGTTTGAGAAGCCGGCATTTTCGACCACCCGGATCATGTTCCTTCCTGCGTCTGTGACCATGAATCCCGAGTTAGTACCACCGTAATGAGTATGCTGCATCCAGTCTCTCATCATCTCTCGCAAGTACTCAGAAATGGTGTCGGCCCTGTGATCCGTATCTATCACCTCAAGGGACAGGAGTGCCCAACGATGACCTGAGTCTAGGCAACCCTTCATCTCCCACCAGTGAGCGGTCAGGGACAAATAGGAATGCCCTCCTCCCGTGCTCGTCCAAATGTCTGAGGTGAAATGTACATAGACGGGTTGTGATTTGTTCAACAGGGTTCTGAGACGTTGCTTGCATCCCTCGAACAAAGCGGGAATGACTGTTCGAGAGAAAGTTCTGCGACTTGGGATATTGTACCATGGTGCCAGGAGGTGAACAAATCGGCGGAAACCTTCCCTTTCCACCATACGGAAGGGCTGGTGGTCCAGAGCCATCATCTCTCCCAGGCGACGTGTTATTTCCTTCACTGATGGCGGCTTAAATCCAGATCTCACCCTTGTAACTTGCATGCCCCAAGCATCGATGGTTTTCTGCATGGGGCCTGTTGGTGTGGTTGGAGTGCTCTGTATACTGCTGCATGTGCTGCCGACTTCAACTGCGTCCAACTTCACATTTGGGTGGTGTCTCTTAATGTGCATCCTTAGCCCTGTTGTGACAAGATGCCTCATATCTTTTCCTCTGCTGACGCTCACACCGCAATGCCTGCAAACTGCCAAAGTGGTCCTCTGATTATGGACATCGTAATGATCCCATAGGAGCGATCTCGGCCTACCCCTACTACGCACTTCAGATGTACTCATGCTCGTGTTTGGACTGTCGGTGTTTGTGGAAGGGAGTATAATTGTTGGTTGTTTCTGTAGCTCGCCCTCCAGCAGCATGCAGTCCTCTTGATCACTAATTCCTGTGGTGGAAGCAGATTCCATATTGTCTTCCTCCCATTCCTCTGACACGTCCGCCTCCTCGCCCTCCTCTTCATAACAAGTAGGATCAGAGGTACTTGGAAGGACATCAGGATCTGAACGTAGAGTCTTTTGAAATGATGAAGAAGATTCTGCCATCTCACAGCTGGTTGAAGCATCTGTGGGTGTTTCAATAACCATCTCGTTGGTTGAATGTTCCCTTCTTGTCAATGTGTTCATCTTCAGTCCCCTGCCTTTCTTAGGTATTCGCGATAGCACTTGGCCCTTGCGACTAGAAAAGCCGGGAAGGAAGCGTTTCATCACACTGCTTGGAACTACACAAATAACGAGCCCTGTATTATAGCACTTTGTGTTGGCAAAAGGACCGCACTGGAACTACACAAATAAGGAAGGAGCACTGTATTATAGCACTTTGTGTTGGCTAATGCGCTGCACTGGTTGGAACTACACAAATAAGGAAGGAGCACTGTATTATAGCACTTTGTGGTGGCTAATGCGCCGCA